CGCCAGCGGCTGGGGGACTGCGAGGAGACGGTGCGGCGGCTGCGGGCCGAGAATATCCTGACAGGGCGGGCCGGGCGGTGGGGCCGGACTCCACTCCTCCCTCGCGGGAGCGCGGGCGGCCCAGCTCGGCTGCCACCGCGTCCCTGAGCAGCCGGGCGGGCCCGGGGCTGCTTTTCTGAAGAGCCTCCGGCTTTGAATGAAGCTGGAGAGCGGAGCTGGCAGGTCCCCCGCCTCCTGCCCGCTTCCTTTCGGTTTGGTTGGAGCTGCCGGGGAGACCCGTCCCTTCTCCTGGAGGAGGCAGGGGGCATCCTCCAGCCGAGATTTCTTTTTTAAATCTTGATCTGTTTGGTCCGAGTTGCTATAAATCGGTGTAGCGATAGTACCCGTGTCCCAGGTGTTGCCGTGTTAAAGTCTCGGGCTGTTTGTCTACATCCGAGGTAGAAAGGGCCGTGCCTTGCGAAGGGCTGTGTGAGGAGACGGGATCTGGAAGGCATTTTTTGCTTGCCTGTGTTAAACTAGAGTGTATTTTCGGATTAATTTTTATTAGTCTGACTGCCAGCTCTTTCTTGCCTCTTCCAAACTGAGACTCCTGAAATGGGTATAGTGTTTGGTGTTTCTTCTAACTTTTCTCTTTTCTGAGCCCTGGTATGTTTTATAATCTTGTCAGCGGATTTCTTTCCTCGTACGCATGCTTTTAAACTCAGTCCCTGTACAGTTCTCTGTCCTATATAACAAGCTACGGTTTGAACTTGCCTGTTTCTCCCCCTGCTTCTTGATTTATTTATTTTATTTATTTTTATTTTTTTATTTGTGGGTTTTTTCCCTGCTTTACCTCACCCTGCTATAATGCTTACTCTAGTGACTTCTGTCTATAAACTAAATGGTTTTGCTGGCAGCACCTGTGACTGGAGTCCTTGGTGATGCACACAGGTGTCCAGCAAGCGGAGACAGACCGTGCGACAGGACTTTGCTGCGGTGCTTAGTATTATGGATTGCTGCTTCGAACGCGGTAGTTGTTCCCTATCCCAAACAGCTTTTTGTATTCATCTTACTCTAGTCCTTTTGTTGGTAAATGAATTCTTGAATTACCTGAAGTGCAGTTTAGTAAAATACATGGAAGTTTCTGAAGCCCTGCCTTATGCCGGGTGCAGTTGTTGTAAGAGTCGATTGATTTAGGTTTTTAAAGTGTCCTTCAGTTCTAGCAATGTGCATGCAAAGAAAAAGTAATCTTCCTTAACAAATCATTAACATCAAGAACTTAAAAGAAAACTGAACGTTCTGACTCGACCAAGGTATGTTAATGTTGTCTTTCCAGAACTTTTAGCAATGTAAGTCCTAAACATGAGATCTCTAAAACGGATGCTTTCCAGAGTCAAGGTAAAGGTTGCTGGAGCTAATTATCGTCTTGTGCAGTTGCTCTCTGAACGTGCGTTAGACTCTCCTGGAAAAGGTTTCTGTAACTGGGGAGTCTAAAATGCCAAAGCCCCCTAAACATTATCTGTATTTTTAGACATCCATATACAAAACTTAGTTTAATGCTGTCACTTGTATAACTGCTGGTATGAATGTGGGCTTCTGGCAAATAATTTTTCCCCTGAAATCTAGTAGTAGAGTGTTAGTTGTTCTAGCCCAGGGCTGGGCAAAATGCGGCCTCCAGGCTGGATGCAGCCCACCAGGCCATTCTATCCGGCCCCTAAAAAATGTAGCAAATTAATATTTATCTGTCCCTCGCTGCCTGTCATGCGGCCTTCAATGGTTACCAAAACTCAGTAAGTAGCCCTCCGCCCAAAATAATTGTGCGCCCCTGTTCTAGCCTATTTAATAGTCATTCTGCGAGGGGTTTCTAATCATCAGATTCTCTGTGAAGTTTTCCCAGTTCTTAAGTAAATGTTAGTGTCCTGTGTTTCTTGCATGTGCCCCCCAATAACAATAAGTCTTTCAAGCAGTTGGCATTCTCTGCTGCATTGCTTGAGGAAGTAAAACTGGATTGAAACCAAGGGGGGAAAAACCTGTAGCCTAGAGTAATGGAGTGATTTGAAAGACAAATTACATTTATATTGGCCTGGACTTGCTGTATGTCTGTCTTGAGATGATGCTCATCCTCTTGACTCTTATCACTGCTCTGATTAAATAACTGGGATACATCACATGACATTTGATGATACAACAATTACATTATACTTTCTTTGTTTACATTTTTGACTCTTTGTTCTTCTAGTGGAATAACACTGGACAGCTCTAAGTTAGATGGACCTTTGTTACAAATTTTGTTCATGAACAATGTTATTTCAAAGTAAGTAACTTCTCTTGCCAAAGCTGCTAATTCTGATTTTCTGCTGAGATTTGCCTTTATTTGGGTTACGTTAGCATACAGTGGATGTGCATGTACTGTATTCAGCAGTTAGTGGCAGTGTTCTGAATACGCTCTATATAAATCTGCTGTTCTCTGATTACTTGCATTCAGTTTAGCAAAATATCTTTAATATCCCAGATTTCGATTGGTTAACTGTTTTGAGATATCCAATCTGTGAATATAATTTTGTCAAATATCCATGTCCTGATGCTAATGTCATTTTGAGTTCTTTGTGGTAACTAATTTGGGAAAAATGCATGTCAGAGCATTCTTTAAAGAATACATCCTGAAGTGTTACCTGAAATTAAGTGTCTCTTTACTTATGCTTAATCTCCTTAGACCAGTGGTTTTAACCCACTTTTTACATTCACACCACTCTTTGGAAAATGCCAGCATTTCATTTTCACCTGTTTGCATACAGAAAAATAATAATAAAACAATTCTTCTGTTGCAAAAAAAAATCAGAAAGACTACAACAATGGATTCCCATTAAAAAAATCTGTTTATCTTGTGGATTGTGTTTGCAGACCTAACTTTGCTAACATTATGCAGCACCACGTGGCACCCTTGAAAGGATCTCAAGGCACCCAAGTTGATAGTCCTTGCCTTGGACTGAACCAAAGATTAGCAGTGCAAACACACTCATTGTCCACCTGTAATTCATAGTCACTTGTGTGTTCTGAGAGAGTGTGTGTTAGTTTGTAGTGTGTGGGATGTGTGTATTTGATTTTTCCCTTAGAGCTGAGTTTTATGATGAGGATGGGAGTGCAACTGACTCTAAATTGCTATTCTTCATAAGTAAATGAAAACGTATTTATGTGTAGCACTAGAGTTACTTCTAATCATAGAAGTTTCCTCAGCTATATTTGCAGGGGCGGGGGGCAGAATTTTCTACTGCTGCTACACAAGAAAGTGCTGTAAAAGGAGAAAATACATTAATATTAGGTAGTATACCTTTGGGTAGTGTGCCTTTTTTTAAATGCATATGTATAGTAACAAAAGTTTCTATAACCACTCTTATTTTGAACACTATACAAAGTCATATCATTATAACGTTTAGATTTCATGTCAGTTTTTTTGGTGAGTATGTAAACAATTTATATGTTTACTTCTGATGTTTTATCATCTTTTGTAGGCAATACCATCAAGAAATTGAGGATTTTATTTCTAATCTAGTTCAAAAGTATGAAGAGCAACAGGGAGCTACATCAGAGAAGACCCACTTCAATGTTAAGCCTCAGGTAATTTATTTTTAACTTCTGTCTTTTGTTAAAGTATCATACTACTGGAATAGCTAAATTCAAGAGTTTTCCTCATTACCTTAAAATAGTATCCTCCTTATCAAATGTTTATATTGGTAAAAATGGTGCTGATTAAACAGTTTTCAAAAAAAAGCGGGGGGGGGAGAATAGGAATAGCAATCGCAAACACCCACTCCCCTTGAAAACATTATTTCCAGATATTGGGGCACTTTTTTAAAGTATGCAGGGTTCTAAATGTCACAGTGTGCGAACCCAAATGTGCTTTAAAATATAGAATTTTTTAATTTTATAATTGTATATTTCTTTAGTCTAAATGAAAGTTGTCAAACATCCAGCCCATTGGGCTTCTCGTGTCTTGGGTAGCGTGTTTTCACCCATTGTCGCTGCAGCTGCTAGAGATGTTCCACCAGCATGGCTCTGGAACCCAGGGGATTAATATTGCTGCTGCTCTCTCCTCCTCCCTCTTCCCTTACCTCCTACTGAATTTTGGGGCTTTTAGTCCATAGTTTAGATTGGGGGGAGGAGTGAAGGGGGTGAGCAGCAGCTGCATTACCCCCTTTGGTTCTGGAGCTGTGCTAATGCAGGGTCTGTGGCAGCTGCGAGGGTTAATACTGTCACTCTCAGTCCAGATATGGCCACTAGAGCCAAGTGAGTTTGACATCCTTGGACTGAGTTTTTTGAGAAACCTTCTCCACCCCACACCTCATTCCTCATGTGGAAGTTGAGGTCAGTTAAGAGTCTACTGTTCCTCCTTGACATTTCCATGTTCTTTCCCTTGCTGAGAAGCAGAAAAGACTCCCTTGTTTTGTCTCTGTCAGTCTTTAGCTGCTGCTGCTTTTGAACAGGCTTTTTTTTCTCCTGCTTACCACACTTTTTCTTTGCAATATCCCCTGTCCCCATGAAGTAAAGAACTAGCTGCCAGGAACCAAAGCCGTGTCAGCCTCCTGTTATAGATGGTACTGCTGTTAGCCTACAGATCACCTACACTAGCATGTAGATATTGGCATGTATATGGGAATGGAGTTATAATATATATATTTTGTAAAGTTCAGCAACTAAGGACTACATTTTTAATATGTTGTTCTCTTGCTTTTCTCATTAGCCATCCAGTATTCTTTTGGAAGAGGACCATAGAGTGGCGAGCTCTAATTCAATTAAAAAAATTAAAGAAGCTTTTAGTGTAAGTTTAACAGCAGTTCTAAATCTGCATTCTGCACCCTTGCTGCACAAAACTGTCAACAATTCCAGATGTCTGCCACTGATATATTTTGCTTTAACCACATAACCAGAAAACATTAATGACGTGCACATTCAGAAGGCATGCATTTGTTTAAGGATTTACTAATAATCAAATCAGGAAATCTCTTAAATAATTTTATAGAACTAAATATATTACTTTAAAATATTAGCCGATATAATTTTTAGACATGTATAATATTCTAACTGTATTTAAATACCAACAATTTTCTCCCTCTTTCTACAGGTTGTAGGGAGTGTTTTATACTTTACCAACTTTTGTCTTGATAAACTGGGACAACCTATATTAAATGAAAATCCACAGTTGACAGAAGGATGGGAAATACCAAAGTATCCTGTTTGTTTGAAATGGAGGCTTTTTTTCTGTTTTGTCTATGCAATCAAACAGCAAAATTGGACAAAGTTTGAGACTTAAAACCTTTTAGAAAAGAATTTTAAAGCTCCTAAATATGAAATTTGCATGGATCTTATCAGTTTGTTGGCTGAAAAAACTACTAAAATAGTAGTTTTGTTCTTTGTTTAGTCTCCCCTACCTGCCCCCACTACCCCAAAAACTGTGATTTCTGCACGATTGTATGATTATAGGAAGGGGAAGCTCGAAGGGACCTCACAAGGTCATCTAGTCCAGCTCCCTGCTCAAGGCAGAGTCATTACTGACTAAGCCATCCCAGCCAAGTGTCTGTCTAACCCTCTCTCAAACTTTCAAGGATGGAGATTCCGCAATTTCTCTAGATAACCTGTTCCAATGCTTGACCCACCCATGGTCAGAAAGTTCCTTCTAAATTTCCAACCTTGGTTTCCTCTGTTGCAGCTTGAGGCTATTGCTCTCAGTCCTGTCCCCTGTAGCCACAAAAAAAGCCCATCTCCAGCCTCTCCATAATTGTCCTTCAAGTATTTAAAGATTTGTTACCAAATCCCACCCCCTCAGTTTTTCTATTCTTCAGAATTAGCCTAGTTCTTTCAGCCTTTCCTCATAAGTCTTGCTTCCCAGGCCCCTGATCACTTTTGTTATCCTACGGTGGACTCTTTCCATACTGTCCACATACTACTTGAAGTGTGGGGTCCAAAACTAGACACGGGACTCCAGCTCAGGCCTTACCAGTGCTGAATAGAGCAGAAGAATTGCTTCCCTTGATTTGCAAATACTGTGTATAACCCGTTGACTTTGAAACAATTTTTGGTTGTGTGTGGTGTTTTTTGTTGTTTTTTTTTTGTTTTTGTTTTTTTAACAAAAGCAAGTCAGAATATCTGATACTCCATTCAACTTGGTGTTGTCCACACATTTGCAGATAAATGATGTAAAAATCAACCATATAAAATCAGTTTGAGAAATCATGTTTTGCGTATTGATGCCCCACCCTGAGTGAAAACATCAGTTCTGGAGCCAACCAACCTGGATTTGTTGTACCTGTCTCTGGACTGTGTATTGCACTGTAACTTGTTCTTCTGGGAGATGGCATGAAGGAAGAGAGAGAGCTTGACGCAGCTGATATGAGGCAGGGCTTTTTTTATGATGTTCTGTTGGCCTGAACATCAATGTCAGCTTTCTTGAGACATGCTTACCTGTAAACTTAAAGGATGACATCCAGCTTAGTTTAATTCCTACTGACTAGGCCAAGAGGTTTCCCTTTTAAGTTACTTAGTGAAACAGCTCTCTGTTAAGTGGACCCTTTATTCCCTATGGGAAAATGTATACACAGCAAGTTTAACTATCACATGGAGTTGAATGAGGGGTTCTCTACAAACATTTTGATGGATAAGCTTATAGTGGATTGTGACTTTTCTGTAACCTGAGGAAGTGCTTTTAGCTCACTCCAGAAAAGTCCATATAAAACAATGCTAGGTTTTGGTTGTACTTGGAATGAAAAATATCAATTCCTTATTAACATCTAAGATACCAGCAAGTTTTCAGCCAGATCCTCTCTCTAGAGGGGCAAGAATTGCAAATAGCGAAACCAAAAAGGTTTGTACTTCTTTGTTTATTTACCTTTTTTAATTCTAAACCTCTTAATTCTGAAACGTTTTAACAGAGGGTGGTGTATGAGGGTAGTACTAAAGATTGTAGCCAACAATTAAAGTAAGCAATTTTAAATTTTGCAGTAAAAAAGAAAATATAACTTGTAAAGAGAGGCAGCCAAACACAAGGCCCTAAAATCACTGTTAAGAAACTGGTTTTAAGCTTATTGGTTAGTGTTTTACTTTTTTCATTTATTAGCATTTTTTATATTGGTCTTGTCATTTTTTTGCCCTGATATGCTGTCACCTTGCTTTTTCTTCTGTACAGCAGCTCTTATCTGGCTTTTTCCCCTTAGTTGGCTTGTTTCCTCTGCATCTAATACAGAGTACAGACTCTTTTTTTTCTTGGAGAGTCAATTATTTTGCTGTTTTGAGGAAAAAGAAAACTTCCTTCTAAGTTTCAAATACATGTTTGGTGAAAGTAGTAAGGCAAGGAGGCAAATTCACTTTTTCTGTAAAGTACTGTATGGCCAAGTGAAATATTTGAGTTTAGGAAAACTGATTTGACAATACTGATAAGAAAAATATAGTACTTTATATTTAATCTGAAACTTGGGTCCTGTATTTTTCCTCCTTTGAGACATACTGCCTCTTCTTCCTTCAAGTCTTACATGAAAACCATGCCTATTTTAAATTATGTAACTCTAGCATGTCCATTTCTACCTGCCTCTCCCTTGTCCTTGTGGCAAAGGCAAATGTGCAGACATAAAGGGAACTTACCAGTCAATTCTAACAAGATGTAAAAGTTTCTTTTATAGAGATTAGGGAGGCAAACTTGTATGTATTGTTTGAGGTGTGTGGTTAATTTGGGTATTTGAGTTGATACTGTATATCCTGGATATTTAGGAGGGTTACATTCCTAACCACTGCTGCAGCATATGTGTGTAGGGGTTTACAAATTAACCAGGGGTACACAGGGCAACAGCAGACCTGAACAGAATTGCTGACTCTCTGCAACTTTTATTTCCAAGGCCTTCAATACAGCAGATCAGAGAATTAAACTGCTGATGAGCCCCAGCTGAATGGCAGAGTGGCGCCCTTTGAAGTAAAAGCTGTAATAAACAGCTGAAAATGAGCAGATCATCCTTAGTTCCACAGCTTGCTGTGTTGTGGACAACCGTGATGCAAATGACAGTTCTGTTGTACTCTGCATATATCAAAAATATTTAAGTATGTGTATGGAAGTACATTTCTAAAGGGATAAATGTACTTTGTAACTTTTTTCTCCTTTCCTTAAACAGGCCAAAACCTCACTGTTTCAACTGTGGTTCTGAAGACCATCAAATGAAGGATTGTCCACAGGTGAACTTTGTTTAGTATGGAAAGAATTGCTTGTTTGTTATCCAAAGTTCTGATGTAACAGAATTGTTATAGAATTAGAGGAATCATATATAATTCATGATGGAAGAAGAGTTATATAAACTATCAATAAAAAATATCTCCATTATACTTAGAAATGTAATATATTACATTAGTTTGAATAATTGAATCTCTCATAGCATAACTTCCTGTTTGACACTTCTTTAAAAAAAAAAAACAAACCCAAAACAAATTAACCGAAAGCCTCTATCTATAGGGTTTTTCCCTCTATTAAGTTAGTGGATGTTTAAAGTACAGTCTGTGTATAACCACCAATGCACCTTTCACACATTTGCAGTCCATTGATTTGTGTTGAGCTGTACATGCAAAAATTAGAGGTTGCATAATGCTGAAGTTCCCACTTGTATTATCTTTAAGCCACGGAATAATGCCCGTATAAGTGAGAAAAGAAAAGAGTTTATGGAAGCCTGTGGTGAAGCAAGTAATCAGAACTTCCAGCAACGATATCATGCAGAAGAAGTAGAAGAGAGGTTTGGAAAGTTCAAGCCAGGAGTAATTAGGTATTTATTTTCCTGCCATTGACTGTCACTCTGTTTGTCATAGATAAATACATCAATTTCCTATTGTTTGAAATTAAGTGGAGTCACCACTTGACAAAACTATTGTATATGAGTTCTCTTGGTAGCCTTAACTAATCTGTTAAAACTCACCCTGCTAACAATGCTTACATGAGCTGATAAATTCCTCAAGTTACTTCTTGTGCTGGAATATTCTATTAAAAATGTTGTGGGGAGTGGTGTATTCCTGACCTTGGGACCTAGTGGTGATATGGACTGAACCCTCAAATGGTTGTTGGAAAGACAGCTGTTCCAAGAGTGATTGCAAGTGTTTCAAGCTCCTGAGGTTATTTTAGAATCATGAATTGTTTGTGCCAGATATGTGCAAATCTAGTCTTTTAAACAAAACTTCTCTTTCACGGCAGAGAGATGACTGCAGTTTGAGCTGGTTTTTTGTCTTGGTTATTTAGCTTGACAGGAAGGATGTTTGTTTGGTTTTTTTTCCTTTTCTGTAGATAGACTACCTTTTAAGGATTTGGGTATGAATGCACAGGTCAGAGTAAGTTGTCATTCTCATAATAAAGTTAACCTTCATGGGTTGTGTCCAGACAAGCACAGCTGCACGGTATATGGCAGTGCAGATACGTCTGCGGCACCACATACCACATGTTCAACTGTTCTCTCCCAACAAGGGAGCAGCGGAGGGTTGTTTTGGGGTGGGGTTTTTTTGTTTTGTTTTTCTGTTAACTGCAAAAAAACCCCCAAAAAGTGGAGTGGTGCGCACAGGGGCATGTGCCACTCAAAACTGGAGTCTGGCTGGCCGGAGCCACACTGGCTGCCAGCCAGGCTCCAAGCGGCTGGGTCACTGCTGTTGCAGCCCCAGGAGGACCCCAGGTAAGGCTGCTGGGGCCAGCCTGTTGCTGTCCTCAGCCTCCCCTACCCCACCCTGGGTAACTTGCCATATGCCAGAAGGCATGTGGCACCAAGCATTCTGCGGGGACAACTATCAGTGGCACAAGGTGTGCCACTGCTAGTTGTCCTCAGGGATCCAAGTGTCCACACTTGCAGGGATGTGGACATGGTGTATGTTTACATATACATTTGTTTGCATTATGTAGGCAAATTAATATAATGAGAGCGCTAAAATCAACACTTCCTAAATAAACTTTTTTTTAGGTACAGTTCTTGCATCTAAAATAGTTCAGAGATTAACAGTAAAAGTGTTTGGATTTAAAAAAAATCTCAAAAGAGGGTTATTTAGATTTTGTTTTAACTTGGCAATTCAAGTAAATATTCCTTGAAACTCAAGTAAATACTCCTAATCATTGTCTTACCTTTTTCTAGGAATATCGTATCTCATATAGCTTTTCTCTCTCTTTCCTTTCTAGTGAAGAACTTCAAGAAGCACTTGGTGTCACTGATAAGAGTCTTCCTCCATTTATATATCGCATGCGCCAGTTGGGTTACCCCCCAGGGTGGCTCAAAGAGGCTGAACTGGAGGGTTCAGGACTTGCCCTTTATGATGGAAAAGGTAAGAAGTGTGTTGTCAAGGTCTGGCTCACTAGCAGTCATGCATTCACTTCTTAATTGATGGAAGACCTAAACTACGCACCTTAAAGGACATGCAAGTTTGTGATGTTTGGCATTGACCATGGAAGAACTTGATTCACCTCAAGACTGCATTGAGCCAGTTCTTCTTTTCTCTAGCCATGTCAATTCTTTTATTGCTTGTCATCTAGGCATGCTACAACAGTCTGCTCAACCTGTAATAACTTAATCACATGGTTGAAGGGATTTTGTCCTTTTGATCTTGCTGTCTTTTCAACCTCTGACATTAGACCATGGGGTTCATGTAAAGCCATTTGTTTCTTAAATGGCCACGTGTCAGCCTAGCTCTTGCTTGATCACACTTTTTTGATTAGCTCATAGCTTCTCATGAAGTCTTGTATAGCTTTCTGGAAGAAAAAAATAATGTCCCTCAAAGTTCTATAATTACTGCTGGTTTTAATTTTGTATTCTGACTTTGAATTTGTACACATTTCTATAATTTAAAGCATTGAAAAATCTAATTGCCTATTTACTTAGGCTTGTCTAAAGCAATAAATCAAAGCCACAGTTCTTTTCTTCAGTGGAGAAAAAAACTAATTTTTGACTAAGTAATTTGCCGGTTCCTTTTATATATAACTGCTGATCGTTTATTCACCATCCTTACCGTTATGTAGCAATGACGCGTGGTCTCCTTATTTCCTTGCACTTGTTTTTCCTAATGCAGAGGCATTTAAGGCAACAAGAGAAAATTTATTTTTTTTCTTCGCCTTCAGACTGACACTGTCCTTCATCAGTTGATTTTTCCAGCTCATTCTCTCTCTTAAAAAACAAACAACAAAAACTTTGGTCCAGGCTTTGTCTAGGTGAATCATTAACACATGTTTCTTCTATTCCTTCTGACATTGGTTTGGTATGCACTTTAGAATTTATTTTAAAACTTCATGTTAACCTTATGAGTGGTCCTTAGCAAAATTAATTTCACCTCCTCACACTCCATTTCATAATCAGGGTTCCCGTATTAATGGTTCATTAACCATCACCTAGAAGTTGCCTTCAGTGTCTAGATTTGGCTCCTCAGGCCTGTGGTGCTCCATACCTGACTTATTAGATTTATTCATTCTGTTTTCCATCTTATCAAACACCAGTTAATTCTGAAGACTTGAATTGTGATGTTTTCAAAAATTAGTTTTGTTAATATTTGAATTCAGTTGCTAGTAGCTAAAAACCATAACTTCTGTAGCCATCTTTTTCATCCCTCATTATAGAGAAATTAGTTGGCTGTGCAGGAAAAAAACCTCTAGTTCTGGGTCTCTTAAGTTACTGGGCTATCAGAGAGACCGCCCCCCAGGAAAACAGTAGTGAATTCAGATTCTACACTGTCAGTGATGCTATGATTTCCAAAGCTGGTTCCTTGACCCCTTGTCTAGTTTTACTTTCTTTCCTACCTTCATCTGCCACTTTTCAGGAGTAATAGACTGATTTCCACAGCTGACGGAAGAAATTTGGGAATAAGTGTACTCATCATTTTTGTAACTTACAAGAACCAGGAGCTGGTGATGGCAAACAGTAGAATTAACACAACAGACGTAACATTTCTAGGCTCAAATCTGAGGTGCTTGATGACGGGGTTAGGGTACTGATCTAAACCTCTAAACCAGGGCTTTGGTCAAAGCTCTGTGTGTACGCTGAGGAGAGATTTGGTCACTGTTCCTACTTTGCAGGATGCAAGTCTTTCTGTAACACTTATTTAAACTTTTCAATGCATGTGTTCTCTGCTATGGCTTCTTTCTATACAAAAGCATTATAAAGTTATATTCTGTTGTAGATGGTGAAACAGAGGAGGAAGAAGGATCCTATCCACAGAAACGTGTCACTTATGATGTCACTAAATTGATAAACTATCCAGGCTTTAATATGTCCACTCCAAGTGGGATTCCAGATGTAAGTGGACATGCTCTACTTAGTTGGCATGTTGTTTTTAAAAAAAACCCAACCCACTATTCCTGCCCCTCATTGTTAAACTTCTGCCTCTAATTGACCATCAAATTTTGCTTTCAGTCATCCATGATTTGCTTAATTAATGGTATCTTAATAGAGATTTGGATCATTTCATCTTCTTGTCTTTTTAATGTACTTGTCATAGAGCTTCTGGCATAACTGTTGTTAATTAGAAGGAAGTCATCCTAGGTGTGCATGTGTTCTTTTTCCTGTGGAAGTAAATTTTAATAGCCATGTTACATACTAGTTGCAGTTAAATTGTTAACAAGATATTTGCATTTCACACAGGCAGTGTTCTTGTTTAGCCAGTTGGCTCCCTGGATCAGCCATTCATGTTTCCAAATGGAAGGGAACTTGTCATCTGTTAGAAATGCACATCTGAAATGCAGTCTGTTAGAAGGCAGGTTCTTCCTGCCTTCCAGTTAGACATATTTCTGGTTAGTGTATTAAGTAATACTGGTCTATGTTCATGAAGTCAGTTTACTGAAACATGTCATGTTACTAACTACAATTTGCTGAACATTGAGCCTTGCTTTCTGTGTTTTTCTATAGGAATGGAGGATATTTGGTTCCATACCCATGCAGCAATCCCAACAGAAGGATGTTTTTGCTAGCTACCTTTCTAATGTTCATGCGGTGATTATCTCTCTCCTTGTTTGAATGCCAAATATGGGAAGAAACTTGTATTTTTTGTGTTAGTGTTACCAAGACATTGATTACTAGTTACATTTCCAACTTTGACCAAAGATGATTCAGAGTGAACTGCCTCCGAATAGTAGGCTTTTGTGTGAAATCCTGAGGCTATTCAGGACAACCTCTTCCCATAAGTAGGGGATTGCCTTTAAATAATATAGCCACAAAAGAAAAGAAGTCAGAGTTGTTCTATAAAAATTGGTACTTTTTTACATAAGATAGCCCATGAGATTAGAAAGATATGGACTTGATTTAAAAGGCTATGTTAAGACTTTAGTGTTTGTTCACAGTTTCTAGGAATTAATATATTTTATGTAGGCTGTCTAAATAACATGCTTCCATAATATGCAAAAGTGCATTTTATTATTATTATTGTAAACCATGTCTATGTTTAATAGATGCTTATGGCAGCCTGGATTTATAGCTTTCTCTGAGAGTACCTCTGATGTAACTGGTGTTTTCTACTTACTGTTTAATTTTAGGCTTCGGGTTCCTCTTCCCTGAGTTAGGCAGTCCATTACAGTAAACAAGATCTTTATTGGTGGGGAGGGGTGAGAGGAAAGCATGTCAATGTTCTTTAGGTGATTTTTAAAAGCAATTTCTCTGAGACTGATGCAAAGGGGATGCTTGGTATGTGTGGCACGGACATTTTACAAGATCCAGATAGAAACCATTGAAAAATTGAGTACACTTGAGGCTGTGATATTTTATTTAATGCTAGTTTAAACTGTAACTTGTTTGCTGTTGAAAGGAAAACCAAAAATTAGACTGCTTGGACCTCTCTTATTTGTTAGCTTCAATGTATAGCTTATGATATGAATCAAAATCATTGTCACAGCTTATGACAACTTGTATATAATTCTGTGGTAGGAAATGTTATTGCCTTGTCTCATATGGCAGTATTATAAAATCTTAACTTGCTCTTCTTGTTCCTGCATAACTATTTCCTCAGCCAAGTCCAAAATCTAATAATAAAAGGCCTGCCATTCAGACAAGCCCTCATAATTCAAAGAAGCTAAGAGAAGACAATTCAGTGGTGGCATCAGCAGCTGACATGGATGTAGATTCTGGTATAATTTACTTTTTTAATATTTTGGATTTGCTTCTTTCTCTTCAGTGTTGTAATTGATACTGAATTACTAAGCCATCATCTAAGAGGAGATTAGATGGTATTGGAACTGGCAGCTAAAGCAAACTAGCTATGGTGCTTAAATATTTGCATTACTTTTGGCTTGTATTTGGGGATGTAATAACCACCATTCTTCTTTGGAGTATTTTACTCTGTAGCAGAATGGTCTGTTCAAGGAAACTGGAATCTTAGGTCACCACTCTTGGTCTAGTCCAGATCAGTAATAACACTGGGATCACTGAGGCTGAAGGCACAATGGGATCTAATGTGCAATTCACACAATCGTGCCTCTTGCCATGCTGCATGTGTATGGCAAGAGGCACAACTGTAGAATCACTTATTTGATCTCACTGCACCTTATTGCCAGTGCAGGGGGAGCATTACCAGTTAATTGCAAAATACCTGTAATTTGCAGAGGGGTCCTGAATAACACGCGTGCTAATTTGAGTTGGTCTGGTCTCAGTTTTTGAAGGATCAATATTAGCTACAGATGACACCTTCTGGTATTTTCAGGAGGGGCATGTGTAGAAACTGTTGCCTCTTTAAATACAAAAAATAAAATAAGACTGATTTAGTGAATTAGCTTCTATAGCAGTTCTAATCAGTGGCTTTTTGGGTTCTCTCTGAGGGGAGAACCTCCATACATCTGGGATCACAAATCTGAAAAGTTTGATTTCAAACCTTAAGTGTTTATCTGTTTAAAAAATGTGTGGCTTTTTTATACTACCGTCATGGTTTCCCATGAGATTCAAAATGACATCTTTGTGAAGGTTCCTCGGGATCCTGTGACCACCTCCTGCCTTTCCCTCTCCCGCCAAAAAAACCCCACCCAATAACCTATCCTGCATGACACTCATTTGGATATAACTTTCTGGTTTTGAGCCTGAGATCCAGGATATGGGGGTGGGGACGACAACGACAAACGCTTAATACAAATGTGCTTATTTTAATTGAAGCTTAGGTTTGAAATCAGCCAAAATAAGACTAAAAGCATCAATACTACTAAGTAAGGTTTTTCATTATCTAATTTTAGATTTGGACATGTCACAGAGTTCTCAAGCCTATGATAGTTTTCAGTTCCAGCCTCCTCTGCCACCTGGATCTCCATCAATTTCAACGCCACCTCCATTGCCACGAGGAACACCTCCTGCTACTCCACCCAACTTCACACCCCCTCAGCCTCCAACGCCTACTCACCTTCCGCTTCCCAGGAATACACCACCATTAACTCCTTCCAGTGACTCGTCTCACCCCAGGATGGGGGAACCTGTTATGGATGAAGATACTTTGACCCTAGAAGAATTAGAAGAGCAGCAGAGACTGATTTGGGCTGCACTGGAGCAGGCAGACAGTACAAATAGTGACTCTGATATACCTGCAGACACACCGTTTGCTGGGAACTCTGTTACATCATCACCATCTAGGAATGAACTGGAGGTTCTTCCAGAAGGAAGAACACCTGAGAAGCTAGTTGCAATGGAAGCTGGTGTTTCAGGCATTAATATGCAAATCTCCAGCAACGAGCACTTTAAAAGTAGTCCTAGTTCAGGGGATGGGTTGCTTGATTTAAAGGAAGACCCTGATCCTGTGGATTTGGAAGGCATGCTGGATGACAACACTACAGCCTCCAAAGGTGAGGTGAATGATGAAGGAAACAAAGGCATAGCTGACGTGGTGACCATCACTGAATCATCTACAAAAAATTTGAGTCCTGTTCCTGACATGAGCAAGTTTGCTGCAGGAATAACACCATTTGAGTTTGAAAATATGGCAGAATCTACTGGTGTGTATCTTCGAATCAGAAGCGTGTTAAAAAATTCCCCCAGAAACCTGCAGAAAAAGAAAACGCCTTCAGTATGACTGGTCTTCCTTTGTGGTTCCTTGGACCCCAAAAGAAATTAAAAATATCCGCCAAGTTGGATATGCTTCTGCACCCTGCTTTTCAAAACCTCTGCTTATGGAGAGTGGACAAATACAGTTCTGTATCTGTTCTTCCTGGTATCAACTTAAGTCCATTCAGGGCTTCCACTTAACCAGGACCAATGCTGCCATTTCAGTACAGGATAACTTGCTGAAATCAAAACCTTCCACAAAGATGACAAGACTATTGATTTTTGTTTTGTTTTGCTTTGATTTGAATATTTTATACCCAGTAATACATGGAAGTCTTTAAAAATACAAGTCGTGGCTTGCTGTTAAATCTTTTGGTTGAGATTTATAATGTCTCTGACTGGGGTCAGGTGGAATGGTGATTTTTATCTGTCCTTTGTACATTAGTCTGCTCTTTCTACGTTTTGCTAATTACCCTGTAGATAAGTTTAATATATTAATGTTTTTAAAAGATCTACCACTTTTAAATTTCCCATGTTAAATCCTGGCAACCAGATGGAAATAATCAGGGATTACCAGCATTAGCCTCACCATTTCAGATATTTTTATAAATTATTTATGTGGGGTCAGTTTTTTAAGTACCACTTCTATCTTTTGTAACACCATTCTTCATGTAAACTTGCTGTACATACCTGTTTGTTTTTGTGTACAGAGGTTTTAATAAATATGTTTTTCATACAATTTTTTTTTTAATGATTGAGTTCCAAGCCTTTCAGGTTCTGGTTAGACACTTAAAGATACGTGGATATGAATCTAATCTGGAAGTTAATTGACACAGAATTCATTGGTAAAAAGAAGGTAAATGTAGCTTATAAAAGCACCAAATCTGTACTTTGTAATAATGCTTGGATCAGAAAATATTACTTACCTTTAAAAGGTACTTAAATGTATAACTATTAAAATCATCCTACCTTGCTTTTTTTCTTTTAATGGAGGATTTATGGGTGGGATATTTGTACCTTTATTACTGCACTGACAACAGGAAGCACTAAGCAACATGGATTTGATGGACAGTTATACTAGCCTGGGCCTTTTTTGCCATGAAATATCAGTGGGGCCAAATCAATGGTGTAGCAGATGCAATTTATTATCAAGATTCTAAGATCTTAGTACCAAGGAAAGAGAAGGGACTCCAATTATTATATTCAAAAGCATGTATAACACTGATCAAAGGTTCTGACTGCCTTTATGGAGCCTGCAGGTCTCTAGCTGAAGAGCAGGTACAGCTTGGGTAATAATGGCAGAACTATCCTAGCCCCTCCTAGAGGTTGAAGCAACAGAGCATTCTGCATTTGAATACTTCAGGAGTCTTTATTTTAACCAGATATGTGCTTCAAAATGGGCAAATTTAGAATCTTTAAACATACAAATTTATAAAGAGAATTTTTCTGGATGGCTGTTGATACTAGACGTGGATATAGCATAAACTGCTCCACCCACTATGATGAATCTATTTAGGTGTGAAAAGTCATAATAAGCACTTAAGCTTAAATGGTTCTAGTTGGGTGGTTTGGTTTTGTTTCAGAACTGTACCTGGAGTGAAAAGCTGAAATACAGGTTTCTAAAACAAAAAAAGGGTAGCTTTTTACATTGCATCACTTTCTTTCTTGGTAGGTGGAGACATGCTGTCCTTGTGAAGCTACAAAACAATTTTGTGTCTTGTTTCTTTTCAAATAGCTCCTTACAAGCTTTTCTAACTTGTCAAACTTCAGGAGAACGCAGATCCCTGTTAGCCAGGGAGTCATGGATGCTGCCTCCCTTGCATGTAGAGGATGATGAAAGACACTAAGGTAATTAAGTGCTATGCTGTACACACCTTGGGTGTGCTACGGCGTTCATGTCTGAGACATTCACTTGCAGTTCTCAAGTCTCTCCCGCACCTCTAAGAGGAATGTTAACCACTTGTGTTAAAAATGTTGCATAATGTATGGCCTAATTTTACAGACATGTGCACGCTATTTACAGAAACTTGGAATTGCTAACCTATATGCATAGATCCCTCTAGCATTAGTTCAGCCCTTTAACTACGCACACTTCATAATAAGTCTACTGTTCCATTTAACAGCTCAGAAAAGCCAAGTTTTCAAAAACCAGTGAACCAGTGTGTAGGAGTAGGAAGAAAAAAGGAACACAATTGTTCATTCTCTTCTTTCTGTTTTTAAGGGGGTTGGGAGATGGAGGAAAGGGAAGTCATTCAAACAGCTCTAGTTTCATTAAAGCTAAACCAAACTTATGCTCTCAGTAATCTTTATAGAGTTCAGAATCTTATGAACTGTATTTATAATCTGTTCCATATCAATTATTAGCTACAACACTTAAATGGGGTCACTGAGTCCAGGTGTCCTACACTTCCATTTCTCTCACAAATGAATTGCTTTTTGTTTAGTTTTGGCCATCCTGTTTTTTATATGTGCGCACACATGCGTGCGCACACACATTATGTAATCCTGATATAATTTAATGCTTTTCATTATATATCTTAATTAGGGCAGAGAAGAGGTTTAAGGCATAAATATGCAAGAGTGACTACTCTCCAAGCAGTCCGATTTACAGAAGATGGAATATTCCTTTAAGAGGTGGTAGAGTCGATTAAGTTTCATGATCGGTCTTTTCTTCTCTTTTTAAATGCAGATTTTCTTTATTCTGTCAACTAAACAAGTACCTCTAGATACTTTCTGTTACAAAACAGAGGCTGCTAGACCTTAATCCTTATATCCAATGTTCTGTACCGATTGCAATGTGTGACTTTTGAATCTCAGTGTTTTGAGTTGCCTGCCCAATCCAACAATGTAACTAGGAAAGTTTCTGTTCTGTTTTTTGGCATGTAGGATTATTTCCTTTATTTGTGTGTACATGTGGGGGTGAAAACACTAAAGGCACTGTTTAACAAGATTTTTGTATCAAACTCATGGGAGGACAGTGTTGTAACACAACTATTGCAGTCTTGGAATAGCTAATATATTCCACCAGAATTACATTACCCCCTACCCTTTTAATAGTCACATTAGCCCAGATCTACAAAGATGCCTAAGCACCTATCTCCTATTGGTTTAGCTGAGAGTTGGCTGCCTGCCTACCTCTTGTCTTAAATCGATTTATGTTAACAGGTGACAGACTCAGCATTCCAACAGTTTGAGTAAAAAAAAAAAACTACAATAAAACCTGGGCTAAATTCATGTGAAGTCTGCTTCAACTTAAAGTCAACAGCACTGCAGTAGGAATGGTTTTGGTGCATTATGTGTTGACAATCATAAGTGTTATTGCCTCTGATCCTACAGAAATCACTGGGGGAAATCTTGATTTCCAAATAATTCTTAGACAATTGAATCAAATTTGGCAAAGGTCTATATTATTGTGGTATTTATTGAAGTATTTAATCTTTCTAGTTTTGTCACCCATTGTAGTCAACATGTTACATATTTTGAAGTGGTTTTTTATTTATTTTTTTCTTATGTTAAGGTTTATTTGAGCTCAAATAAAAATGCAAGATGCAGCCTTTAACCAGAAAGCATCTTTTGGTTTAGTTGCTAAGTTTTGCTGAGGCACCAAAGCATTTTCCTGAAGTTTTAATACTGTTTTTGGTAGTGATAGGTGTGGTACAGGAATCTAATTTAAAGCTGACTAAACTGAATGAGTAATCAAACTTATGAGATGGATACATTATAAGTAGGCATTATTCAAACTTTCCCACAGACTCTGACAACCACAATTCAGTTCTGGCCTGAAACCCTCCTGCAGTTCTAGCCTTAGTGCTCTTTTTACTATAGAGACATGAGGCGTACTTGTCTCGGAAGCAGAACATGTTCGTTTATTCCCTAAACTAATGCATAAGATTCTATATTGAAAGCCACCTGCTTCCCACCAGCCTCCACAACAGTAGCAGAAAAATTGCACTAAAAATGTACCAGGAAAGTATCCTAGAAAGTTGCATCAAATCAAGGGTATAGCTTGAAAACAAAATCAGATTGAAATGCATCCAAATTAGAACAAATTTAAATAAAAGGATAAGAGTCAAAATTAAAGAAAGTTCCGCTCCTTTTTAAAGGTGTTTTTTTGTTTTGTTTTTTGTTTTGTTGGTTTGGGGGGGGGTACGGGGAGGGGGAGAAGTGTGAAGGGAAGGAACAACATTGCATTGTTTTTGATGCTGTATCGGATCGTTGACCTTTCCCAACCACTTGCTTGCCTACAGCACTGATGGTTTGTACTTGTTGCTTCAGAAGAGATGTGTTGACTTTTGGCAATATGTTAGACTTGCCATGTGGATTATCTGACATTAAGAATGCGCACACTTTCTCTCATTTCATTTAAGATGACAAGTGTATTATTCATTAACATGCTGTTGGATTTGTTAGGTGTATAAGCAGCCCTCTGCCTCAGTTTTCAACTTTTTTTAGCTTGCTTGGGTATCTCTGTTAGGGGACAAGCTAACTCAGATGACTGTCAATGGGATATAGGACCTTTCCTGCTTTGGTTACTGCTTGAATCCAGGTCAAGTCAGAAGTGATAGGAACTCATTGCCTGCTGTTCAATGGCTTGCTGGAGGCATTTGGTGTGTGGTGTCATTCTAAATCCTTTCCTGCCAGAAATCACACTGGAACAGGCATCACAATTAGTCCCTTGTTGAGAATCTCAGCAGATGCCAGGGATTGATTGCATCACTGATACTACCCTCTCTTGCTACTTGTAGGAGTGCTTGCGCTCTAGAACAGGGTTGATGAAAGCTGCTGGGGGCAATGAAGGGAAATCTGCACTTTTGCTTCCTGTGTGTGCTTGCTCTGCTGATGAATAGGGTACTTCAGTTTCCAGGGCGCGCAATCTGGTATGTTTTCCATCTACTGAATTCACATTAGAAAGGAGAACATCTGCCAAGTGATGTGTAACTAGGGATGAAATCTTCTTCTCTTGCTCCCATTTTTTAAATATGTTCTACTGAGGGCATCTAGAACAACAAAAGCTATCAATATTAAGGATTTAAAAAATGCTTACACAAAATTTCCATGCATTTCAAAATGCAATCTCTAAAGTAATTTCAGTGCATCAGTCTGGTGACAAGTATCCTTCAGTTATTCCTGTAACACTTAGTCACATGAGCTGTTTTTAATACTGTTAATTCATTGCTTTTGAATGTGATGAAATTAATCACTGCTGAAATTCTAAAAGACTTGTAAGAAGCACAGTAACTTTTCTGACCATAAATATATTGTATAACAAAGCAAGGCAAAGTTCAATAGAAACAAAAAAAATTCAAATTTAATTAAGATGTGCCAGGCTAAATTAGGGTCATACTGAAGTGATAGTAACTCACTAGAGTTGTATTTTGTTCCAATAGAAAAGTTTATAAGTGAATGTCTCTGATTTATCTTCCCTATGTTGTATTGCTGACCGTCTTCCTATATGGAAAGTTAGGAAAGGACTTCAAGTTGCATCAAGGTAGAAATAATATTGATGGTAATTGTATATTGTTTAGAGACAAACAAGGATGTTTAATAGCATATATTTCTCCCCCCCCCCCCCAAAAAAAAAAAAAAGAAAAAGAAAAAGAAAAAACCCAACCCATGGTTGTCTCAAATGCTGTTATATTGGATAG